TACTTATTATTTTTGATGGACTATTAAGAATGCGGTGTCTAATAATGACCTTCACTGCTCTCAGTCACATCATTATTTTTCATATTTTTTTGATCATATAATTAATGTATGAAAATAGTTATATATAGTATATACATATACATACATGTGAATCCTCTTTATGTAAAGTCCCAAGTTACATGTGTTTTGTCTATATCTAAATTTACCTCATTAGAATACTTGAGTATGTTTGTGTATAATAATCTCTCAGCACATGATTGCACTTTTCTAATTTATATGTTTTTAATTACTGAGAGGTATTGGAATGGGTTGTTGTGAAATGTGCTGTAAGACAGGCAGATAAGCCATGTAGAGATGTTGTACGCTGCAACAATGATAGCAGCATGCCATCCTCATTACCAGCTCCCCAGCTCCCACACGAGCCATTTGAGTATCCCCTTCTCTTTTTGCCTCTCCCTCTCTCCCTCTCGGCTATGTAAGCAATCTGCTAAATATTTTATCACCTCTCTGGTAAATCGAGCAGAGACACTCAAAACAGCACCCCGCCACCTTCGCCAAAGCAAAGCTTGTCTTGTGTGCGTGTGGGGGGGTGTGTCCTGTTCAACTGAAGTACCTAGGAGACACAGATGCAATGCTTTTATTAAACCTTCTCATAAATGTTGTCTTGGGGTCTAGCTGAGTGATTGATAGAATCACCTTGATTAGGTTTGCTTCTCATCTTCTACTGATGCAGCCATTGATCATTTTAATAATCTTTAGATCCTTAATATAAGAAGTAATTAAAACTCCTTGTTAAGCTAATTGTTGTGACGTTTAAAATCTCAAAAGTGACTAATGTGACACAAATTGCATCCCAATAAGCATCCAAAATTGATAGACAAAGAAAAACAATTCAAAATGTTAGAGTGTGTGTTCTTTACTGTATTGCTAACCTCATTTTTCCTGCAGGAAACTAACATTTGTTTTAGTTTATACATGCTTGGCTGCAGTATATGTATAAAGATGTAAGTCTTAATAAGGCTCCTGACTACATTTTGTTTAGTCKTTTTTAACAGCTTTTCTTTGATTAAAGTTTAATGATTCCTTTTTCTGTTTCAACCAGTGGGCCATTTCTATGCAAAACACATAGTTCTGAAATCCATGCTCCACTCTCTTATTTGGATATGAAAGCGATGCTGATAGCAGAGGACTTTAAAATGTAAAGAAAATTATTTTCCCCACTGCTTGTTTAGCAAAATGTTAATTATGCACATGCTTGATAATATAATTGTYTGTGATATCATCTAGGAACAAATCTATTACCATTTATTTTAGTACATTCCTCCTTCCCTCCATCCATCTCGCCATCCAATGCAATACCCATGATTATGTATTTATATAGTTGGGTATTTACATAATTCCCCACCCAAGTAGTCTTATGGACCCACGAAGCAACGTGAATCTTCTCATATTTTCTCTCACCGTTAGACTCCAGCAGGCTTTTGACACGCTGGCACATTAATATTACAAATATTCAAATAACTTTATTTAACATTCTGCAGGCTGACAGTGGCAGTAGGAGATTCACAGCCCATTGACCAAGTGCGTTCCCCTGAACTAAGTGCAGATTCATCATGAATGCCTTACTCCTGTCTAATGACTGTCATCATATTGCACACACACACACACACACACACACACACACACACACACACACACACAC